AAAAATTTATAGTAAGGGGTCAGGGATATAGCTCAGTGGCATAAGTGCCTGCCTGGCAAGCACAAGGTCCTGAGTTTGATTCCCAGTACCCCCACACACAAAAAAAATTACAGTAAGAACATGAACCGGGCATGGTGGCACACGCCTATAATCCTAGCACTCGGGAGGCTGAGGCAGGACGATCGTTGCGAGTTCGAGACCAGCCTGGGCTACAAAGTGAGCTTAAGGCCAGCCTGAACTGCATAGAGATCGTCTTAAAAAGACAAAAGAAAAAAAAAAAAAGAACATGAGCAAGCAGGTGGAGAAATAGACAGAAGACCTGAACAGCACTGTACCCCAGAAGATGCAGAGATGACAAATAAGCATATGAAAAGATCACATGCCATCCCGGGGGTGCCAATTAAAACAGTGACAAGATTCAGGTGTCCACCTGTTAGAGTGGCTGGAATCAAGATACTGGCAACGCTAAATGCCGGTGAGGGTGGGAACCAACAGGACTTGTATTCATCGCTGCTGGAAATGCAAAATGGTAGAGCTGCTTTGGAAAACAGTTTGGTAGTTTCTTACAGTACTCTCACCGTAAGAACAGCCAGGGGCCACACTTCTTGGTATTTCTCCAAAGAAACTGAACATTTATGTCCACACAAAAACCCACCCTTGTGTGTTTACTGCAGCTTTATTCCTAACTGCCACAACTTGGAAGCAATCAGGATGTCCTCAGTAGGTAAATGAATAAACTAGTAGAACCAGGGAGTGGAATATTATTAACCCCCAAAATGAAGTGAGTTTTCAAAGCCATGAAAAGACACAAAGGAGCCATAAATGCATGTTTCCTAGTGAGGAAGCCAGGGCGAAAAGGTACACACTGTACAAGTCCAGCTATATGACATTCTGAAAAAGGCAAAAACTGCACTGGTGTGGCTGCCTTGACATCTTGAATTAATTAAAAATGTTTACCTTTTATGGTCATTTTGATTTTGGGGACGAGCCAGAAGTCACACAGTGCCAGATCTGGTGAATAAGGTGGATGAGGTCCCACTAGTGTTTTTACAATCCTGCCATTCTGCTGGATGGCATTCACTAAATTTTTGATCGGACTTTATGAAGACACTCAAAAAGAGCACTTCCGGAAATGCTTCAGAAAGTGGCAAGAATGATGGGATAAGTGTGCTTGAGGTGAGGTGGGTTAATGGCAATGTGTCCTTTATTGTTCTACAACTTTTAAATAGTCTCCGTATATTTTGATCAGCCCTTGTATGTTGATAGGAAAAAGATCAGTGGCTGTCAGGGTCAGGGAAGAAGGGATGAACAGGTGGCATGTAGAGGTTTGTAGGCAGTGACACTATTCCAGCCGATGCTGTAATGGTGGGTACACATCACTCCAACTTTTTGTTTCTTTGTTTGTTTTTGGTACCAGCACTCAAACTCAGGGCCTTGCACTTGCTAGGCAGGCACTGTGCTGCTGAGCTGCATCCCCAGCCGCCCCACCCCCATTCTTTTATTTGTTTTTTGAGAGAGGTTCTCACTATGCAGTTCAAGCTGGTCTTGGAACTCACTGTGTAGCCCAGGCTGGCCTCAAACTTGCAGTGATCTTCCTGCCTCAGCCTCCCAAGTATTGAGATTACAGGTGTGCACCACCACATCTGACCTCTCCAGCTTTGTTAAACCCACAACGTATACAACACCACGAGTGACCTTGGTGCAAACTACAGACTTAGGATGACAAGGTTGTGGTGGCACAGGTTCCTTGGGTACCAAATGCCCCACGATGGAGGGGTGTGGGAGAGTTGGGGGGCATGTGAGACACAGGCATGGGGAACTCCACCTTCCACTCCATTCTGCAGGAAACCGGAACTGCTCTAAAGAATAAAGTTGACCTAAAAAACAAATGAGCAATAATAACAACAAGAAAATCAAACAAAGGCGAAATACTTTTTCAGATATATAAATAAACCACGCTCACCAGTCTGGAAAATCAGCGTTCTCCAAGGGTCAGGAATTTGATTTTAACACGGGCTTATGAGCCAACTACAAATTGCTTTTCAAAAGTCCTGAAACAAATTCCTACCTGGAGACTGCAACTCCAGGAAACCATGCGCTTTCCTCCCCGCAGGGGTCCAGCGGACCAAACCACAGTAAAAACCATCACCTGTGGAGACTTGCTTGTTTCTAATGCTCAGATATTCAAATTCCAGTGCTTTCACTGAAGGCAAATAGCAAGGGGGCTGTTACACACACGATTATTTTTCCAGTGTTCTCCGATCACATGAACTCTAATGCATACAGAAAGTGCGGCCAGGCGAGGGCTCTACCCTGAGCTCCAGCCCGGCTCTAAAGCAGCCTTTTGCATTTCCGGTTTCCCCCTCATTGAGTTTACTGCATCTCCAGCTGAGCAGCAGTCCTTGTAGAGCACACATAGCCGTCCAGAGGTCACAGCTGGGACCACAGGGCGGCACCAGTGGCCTCCAGGCTGAGGAAACAGCTCCTGTACATGTGTTCCCCCTTCGGTTTCTGTCTGTCTGATCTAAAGTTTTGATCCAGCCTTGGAAATGGATTTAACCATTTCCCTGCTCAACTGGGAGAACATAGCAATGCCAGCTTTTAACATACACCTTAAATTTATTAGGGACATTGGCCCTTTCTTCTCCCACAGGGTAGAGAGCAACTTCAATATGTTTTTTTTTTTTGTACTGCAGATTAAACCAGAGCCTTCATACTAGCTACATCTCCAGCCCTTTTTTTAATTTTGAGACTCTCACTAAATCAATATGTTGTCTAGAATGGGCTTGAACTTGTGATCCTCCTGCTTCAGCCTCCCAGAGTGTTGGGATTACAGGTATGCGGTACTGTCCCTGGCTTCTCTGGGCTTCCTCTCAGGCTGACACCACTTGAGCACCTAAACTGTGCCATCCCATGTCCCCATCTCTCTTGCTCCCCGCTGTAGGTACCCTCTGCACTCTTCCATATCTGACTCTGGGTGGTCATTGTCAGCCAATCTTGCAAATTCTTAGATATTTGCGTTATCCAGTGTTATATCTGTTTCTCTAGCAAACACTGACTGATACATGCCTTTAGAAGGGGTTGAAGGCAGGTGTGGTGGCGTATCTGTAATCTCAGCACTCGGGAGGTTGAGGCAGGAGGATCAATGTGAATTCAAGGCCAGTCTGGGTTACATAGTGAATGCAAAGCTAGCATGAACTACATAGTGAGACCCTGTCTCCAAAAAGAAAAAAAAAAAAAAAAAAAAACCACCAAAAGAAGAGGGGTGAACAAGCGCCCCGCTTTTGCTCCAAGCGAGGCTGCAGCATCCGTGAAGATCTTGGAAGCAGCAAGTGCTCTCTCCAGACGCTGATCTAGACACTTACAAGTCTCCAGAACTGTGAGCAAATTTCTGTGGTTTATAAATTGATGTATTTACTGTAGTATCCCAAATGGACAAAGACAACGCCAAAATGAAATGCTACTACTGATAATTTTCAGGATTTGATTTCCATCTCCCCATTCCTGTGAACATTTATCTCACATTCAAATTCCCCCAGGGCTGGATATGGTGGTGTACACCTACAGTCTCAGCACTTGAGAGGCCAAGGAAGGAGGATTGCTGAGAGTTCAAGGCTAGTCTGGGCTACACAGTGAGTTCACAGACCGTCTGAACTGCATTGTGAGACTCGGCCTCAAAAAAATAAAAAAGAGCTAGGCATGGTGGTGCACACCTGTAATCTCAGCACTCGGGAGGCTGAGGTAGGAGGACTGGTGTGAGTTTGAGATCAGCTTGGGCTACAAAGTGAGCTCAAGGGCAGCCTGAACTGCATATTGAGATCTTGTCTCAAAAAGACAAATACAAAACAAAAAACCCTACAAAAGGCAAAACAAAAAAATCAAATTCCCCTAGTTGACCCCAAAATGTCCTCAAGGGCAGAATTATTTGCCTACACTACATCTGGTCAAGGCCTTCAGATACCCTTTATGCTGTCACAATCTTTTTTTGTAGGACTGGGAGTCAAATCCAGGCCTTTGTGCTGAGCAGCATTCCCAGCTCCTGCCTCCCAACTTTTTTTTAAATTTTGAGATAGGGTCTCACTAAGTCACAAAGTTGCCTGTGCTGGCCTTGAACTCCTGATCCTCCTGTTCAGCCTCCCAGAGTGCTGGGATTACAGGTGTGTGATAACACACCCAGGTTGCAATGTTTCTTTTGTTGTTTTTTTGAGACAGGGTCTTGCTGTGTAGTCCAGGCTGTCCTTAAACTCACCGTAATCCTCCTGCCTCAGCCTCCCAAGTGTGGGACTAGAGGCGCATGCCATCACACCCTGCTCAGTGCTTTTTTTTTTTTTTTTTTGGCCTTTTTGAGACAGGGTCTCACTATGCAGTTCAGGCTGGCCTTGAGCTCATTTTGTAGCCCAGGCTGGTCTCGAACTTGCAACGATCCTCTTGCCCCGAGTGCTTGGATTACAGGCATACGCCACCATACCCAGCTGCTCAATGCCTTTTTCATTTCGGATATTTTTAGCGTGTGATGGGTTTATCAGGACGCAGCCCCTTCACCATCAGTTCTGAGGAGCGTCTCCCCTGGAAGGCATGGCTGGGGCCAGTTCACTCAGGAGCAGGCAGACAGGCAGAACACCTCCAAGCCAGGTGAGACCTGAACATCTCCTTCATCCCCCAGCTCTGGGGCTATCAGTGATCTTTGGATGGCCGGATGCTGCCTTGCATGGCTCCATGTCACCCTCACAACTAGAACGTCATAAATGCAGTGTCACCTTGACACTGTATCCCTCCTTTTCTCTACCTACATCCAACAAATGCATGTGACCCTGATCGACAATTCCATCAGCATCGGTAATTTCCCCAGGCCTTGGGCAATATTATTCCAACTCTTCCATCCCCTCTGCCAGTTTTCCAAGTTGTTTCCTTCTGCCGTTTTCCCTTCACATCTCATCCCTCTGAACCAAGTCGTCACCAAGGCAGTAGCACTGAGTGTCTACTACAAAGATCTGAAGCAGTTTTGGCAAAATAATAAATTTATTACACACGATCAGTAGATACACGATACTGATAAATTATTCTCTGTCTGAAAAAAAAGGTCAAAATGAAAAATAAAATATTTTTAAATATCGTGCAATTACAGAGGTTCTCCAGGATCAGGGCTGGGCCTGAGATAGCTCCTCATTTTTCAGAGCAGCCCTTGTGAGCAGATTTATCTCCACATCTTTTCTTTTGTGACCTAGTTATCCTCAGCTTCAAGGCAAGGTCCGAGCTAGGGAGGCTGGGAAGCCCCCGGAGGTGAAGTTCATTACATGGGGCGGCTAGAATTTGGTAGCTGTAAGGATGGGATCTAAGTTTAGAGGTGAGTGGAGGCTTCCCTGAAGGGACCAGGAAAGTCCCTGAAGCAGAAACAGATGAGGCCAAGCGAGGGGTCGGGGTAGAGGGGCTTGGGCTGGACGTGAGGGATGCTGGGAGTGAGCAGGGAGGATAACACGCGCTCTCCAGGACCAGCATGCGCTGTCCACACTGGGGGTTTCAGCTGAGTGGAGCACCTCCCCCAAAGAAAGCAGCAGCAGCAGCAGGTGAATCCAGCGGAAGCCCCTTCCTTCAGTAGTTCCCAGAGCCTGAAGACGAGTTCCCAGTGTGCCAGTGAGGCAGAAGCACTTGGTTAGTGAGCGGTCCCCGCCAATGGCTCCGGCTCCTGGAAGGCACGGTCAGGCTGGCTTGCAAGAAGAGCGCCCTTGACTAGGGCTGGCTGATTCGCAAGATCACGCTGGAGTTGGTCACGCGGGCTCCATAGTGGCCAGCCCAGAACTGTGTGTCCTGGCCCCAGTGTTCAAAAGACACGAAACGGACGCCCATCTTGATGTTGGAGAAGACGTGGGTGACCTGTAGGCAGAGGAAGGGGTCAGCCCTGTAGCACCACGCTCCTCCCTTCCAAAGCTGAGAAGGGGGGCTTCAGGCAGATGGCATTTTCCAAAGATGGCAGCCACGTTATCTCCATGGCACATGTTCTAGAATCTGCCTGCTGCCTCATTAAGAGGTCTAACGCCCTTCCTCTGGAATGTGAGTGGGTGTGCTTGTCACCAAGAGTGTGGTGGAAGTGAGCAGCTTTTGCCAAGTGACTTCCTAGGTAAGGTCAGAAAAGGCAGTGAAGCTGTTATGCCACCACACAAGCAGGCTGACTGTCCTGAGGACATCGAACTGTGAGAAAACCAACTGGCCCAAGCCCAGGGGCCCCACGGAAGAGTTCTGAGACTAAACAGAGACAGATGTATTTGGCCAGCTGCTGGAAGCTACCCCCACACACTACCCTACACTTCCGCCCCAGCCATCAACTGCCACTGTCTGAACACAAGAGATTGAAGCCAGATTGTCCAGCCGGGCTCTTTCCACCCACTGCGTTAGAAGACATGAGAGCTAATAAAATAATTACAGTTGATTCTTTTTTTCTAGTACTAGGCTTCAACCATGTTCTACCTGTGAGCACCATTTCTCCCATCTTATTTAGTTTGCATTTTGAGATAGGGTCTCACTAAGCGACCCAGGCTGGCCTCAAACTTGCAATCCTCCTGCCTCAGCCTCTTGAGTAGCCAGGACTACCGACACACATCACCACACCTGGCTAAGGGCTATTGTCTTGCGGCCACGAAGTCTTGGGCTGACTTGTTACACAGCAAGAGCTGATCACCCCACCCACCTCTCCCCCTCTCCTCAGAGACTCACCTGAAAGCAGACATTGTTGTTCCACTGTTCAATGGGGTCAGGCACGGCAGAGAATTTATCTAGGACGGTCTGGTCGGCATCTAGAAGTTGGACAATGAGTCGATACCTACAGCCACTGTCATGTCGGGCTCCCCACCTGTGGGAGGAGCGAGGCCTTACAGGCTGGACTTGCCACCTCACCTCTTTAAGTGTCTGCCTGTCCCCTCCCGCTTCATAAGAGATACAGCATGCCATGTCTGACCGGATTGTCTTTTTGTTTGGTGGGGATGGTGTGACCGGGTAGTCTGCTGGGGGATCGAGGGCAGGGGCCTGCCACACCCATGTAGATAGCCTGCGGGGAAGGGCATCTACTCCTGAAAAAACAACAGTGGGCACTTGGGAAGGGGCTTTGACTCCATGTCAGCTGACCCGGAGGCTGAGACTAACCATACCAGCAAGTGACCAATCAGACCTACGTGATATAGCCCCAATAAAAACCTTGCAAAACGTGGCTCAGGTGAGTGTCCCTGGTTGGTAATATTCCATGTCTCTCATCACATTCATGCCAGGATGAGAACATACTCTCTCTCCAGGGGAAGGGGTCCGTGGAGACTCTGCATATGGCACCTCTCCTGGACACTGCCTTCTTTTCTTAGCTGATTTTAGTTTTGTTTTGTTTGAGACAAGGTTTCACTATGTAGCCCAGGCTGGCCTTGAACTCAGCCATCTTCCTACCTCAGCCTCCCAAAGGCTGGGATTACAGGCATGCACCACCACGCCTGGCATTCCTAGTTAATTTTAATTTGTACCTTTCCTTGCAACAAACTCTAAGTGTGTAGTAGCTTTCTGCAAGCGCTTCTAGTGAACAAATGAGTGTGTGGGTGGCTTTGGGAGTTCTGCCAACTTGACATCAGTGTCAGAAGTGAGGATGGTCTTGGGGACTGTGCTTTCTAACTCCATAGCTGACTCTCAATTTCTCACAGACATTGACACCTGGCTTTCACCTTCAGACACTCACATTTAATGAGGACGCAGTGTGGCCTGGGCATCAGGGATTTGGAAACCCCATGGTAGATATGCAGAAGAATTTAGGATTCTTAGAAGCAAATGGCCAACCACTTACCAGAAGAGCACAGACATACCACACAGTCTGATGATACCAATGAAACTACACAGTTTTATTGGGAATGCATCTCTTAGGCAGGATGGGGAAAGCTAACGATGCCTTAAGAGTGAATTTGTTGTGGCTGAAAATTCAAATGGTCATTTGGCTTGGATCCTCCTTCATTTTTACATCTGGGGACCACACACCACAATGGGGGTCTTTTTCCCCTTAAGGCTGAAAAAGGGGGGCCTGAGAAAGAGATGGGAAAGGAGAACCACGGTACTTCTACCACAGATGAGATCTGCAGCAGATTAATTTCAGAACAAGGAGCACACAGTTGTAGAGGATTTTGGACTTGGCTCCCTTAAAATTAGGTCCTGGGCCCCTTGGAGGGTCCTTCCGTACCTCTCTTTAAGACCATGTGCTCTGGAGCCAGAAAAACCCCACTAGGTGCTGCCAAGGTCCTGCCCTGGCTGGTGATAGGGGCAAGGCACCTCCTCTCTCTGGACCTGTGTCCTACAAAGCTCTGAGTAATTTGAGGGTTTGCACTCTATCCTCCCATTATGATCAAGGTTCAGTAAGGATGACTTCACTGATAAAGCACTTGGTCTGCCTAAGGCTCTAAAACTGCGGGTCTAAGGGTCGAACCCGGAAGGTCTGGCTCCAGAATCCAAGTCCTGTGCGCATTATGTGTTTTGCCTCCTGCTAGACAAGGGGCATCTCATTCAGACGGACTAAGCTGCGTTCAAGACCTCCGTACTGGACCCAATCTGCTGTCTGCACCCTCGCCTAAATGCTTTGGGAATGACGACAGCGGTTTAAGGTACGTCTCTGCTAAGGGATAGAGTTGTGACCCTGGTTAAGTCCCCTCACCTCCCTGACCTTCTGTAAGGGGTTGTTAGGAGGCCCAAGTTAGGTCGGTCCTGCAGAGCTCAATGGTCCATGCAGTCATCACACTCACCAGTCTGAGACACAGATCTCGATCTTGCCACTGTCCAGCAGTTCTGGCCACAGGCCCTCCTCCTCCAGGTCCACGACCTGCTTCTTGCGACACCAACTAGGCAGGTGGGAGGAGGGTAGTGAGAACAAGCAGGTCTTTCTCAACAACAGACCTGGCCCTTGGGGAGCAGAGGCTTTTACCTGAAGGAGGCCACAAAGCAGGTCTGCGCAGGGGCCCCAGGCACGATTGTCCTGTTTTCCTCCACCACCCAGCCATCCCCACCGTGCCGCACCATCCACTTCCGGAGGCCTTCTGTCAGATAAAAGAGACTTGTGCTCAAGATCCAGCCGCCCACCCAGGGCGCCCATGCAGCTCTGCCCCTCTCACGGCTCAATCGGGGCCCCACCCCTCCACTCCCTGATTGGCTCCACTTCCCAGCCTTGTTTTGACTCCGCCCCCTAGCCACGCCCCAGAAAGGCTGACTCCACTCCTTCCACCGTCTCCTTTGGGGTCCCGCTCCCCCAGCCCTCTCACCCGCTCCCCGATTGGTCCCTACTCGGTCTGGCTCCGCCCTTCAGGCTCCGCGTTGACGCCTCTCCTCCCCCCGACCCCGGATGGCCCGCCCCCCGCCCCTCTCCTTGCGCTCGCGCCCCGCGCCGACCCCGCGGGCTCCGGCAGCCGGTGGGCTCCCTCTGCCCCCGCCCGGCCTCCGCACCTTGTCCGCACGGGTTGCAGATGAGGTTTCGTCCAAGGGGCCTGCGCTCGAAGAAGCGGCCGAGAGGGCAGGGCCTGGCGTCGCCGGCGGGGGGCAGGCAGCTGCGGACGAGCGACAGCAGGGCGCGGCCGGAGGCGCTGTGGTCCCGGGCCAGGATCAGCAGCCACAGGGCCTGGCCGTCCACCAGCGCCCTCCAGGCGCGGCACACGAGGCGGCAGCGCCTGAGCAGCGTGCGCGGGGGCACGTGGCTCAGCACGGCCAGGAGCAGCTCGGGCGGCAGCCGG